TATATATATATCTGTGTATATTTCGTGTATTATATATAACATATATAGTATATATTATATTCGAAATACATACGAGATACACTGTACGTTAATTCTCTATCAGGTAGAGTTCATGTTCGAAAGAGACTTGGCTTTATTTTTTCGGTTCGTTTTCTAAGGAACGAATCAGTTCTTATTTAGAGCCTTACCAAGCCGCCTAGAAGGTTTACGAGCACAGTTCCAACTATCGCAGCCACTGATCTCTTCCTTCTTGTATCGTCCTTGATTGAAAGTCCATTTCAGAACAGTACTCTGAGGACCAGTCACTTACCACCGCGAGGTCGCTGGTGCCGATGCAGGCAACCGCGCTACCCCGCCATAATGGCCTGGAAAAATGTTTTGACCGGCAGCAATTTTCCTAGAACAGGTTGTGTCATACGATAAATGGCCGAATACATTTCTAGGCGGAAGCTGACGCACAGTTTCAGGCGTATGACGCCAAGCATTCCGCACATATACAGTGCATGAAGGTACTTCGATTCTATACATCGTCGAACCGCCTGGTCTGCAGCTGTGTTGTTCCAATAGCGTGCTGGCCGAAACTAGCAAGTACCGAAGCTTGGCATTGGCTGACCTGATGCCGGTGCAGAACCGCTAGAGATATTCCATATCGCCGTTGCGCCGCTATCAAATGATAGATTGCTTAGACATCTTACTCATATGACTCGGACACTTGCAGTAGAGCGTGCGTATCAGCCCAGACGTGTTTTTTTTCCTGAGAAATGAGAGATTACCATGGCGCTAGCGGAACTAGCCGCCAGACGTTATTTGGAACGGAGCATACAGGATATGATATTGCAGAACGCATTTCGTCTAGAGAAAAGAAAAACGAAAGAAAAGCAGAAAACAAAAAAAATACGAAATGGGAGAAGGGGAGGGGAGAAGGTCTATCTTAGCCCATTCGGACTAGTGGTTTCCTTCAAGTTTTCGGGATAAGTTTTTCTGCTAAGCGTTTCGTACAGATAATACAGTTCTGCTGAATTGGCAGATTCCGACGATGGCTCACGATATGAGCATAGCTTTTGAAATGAATCTACCATAGGCATCGTCTGAACAGAAATAGTCATTGCTATAGTCGTCATCAACATAAGAACAAGTCATACTTTCCGGCAAAGAGAAGTGAATCAGTTGTTTGTCTGCCGGTGTAGTCTGTTTGTAGATTAGTCGCAACTTTCACGAAAAAGAAAGAAGCCCGGGAGCTTTACACTGCAAAACCCTTTGACTAGAGCCTAGAGTCGGGAGCTAAAAGCTTATAGTATCAGAGATTACCGGCAGTTCAGTGGAACGGAACTCCATCTGACCCAATTTGACCACTTGATTTCGCCAACCGAACGGTGGGATCTCTGTTACAGTGGGTCGAGAGACCTAAGGTCTGAGGTTAGACTTACTCAGCTTAAAAGCATCGCACGAAACTAAAGAGCATAGGCCCTACAAATGAACCCACATAATTGGCCAAAAATGAGTAACCCTTCACTAGGACTGGTCATAGCCGTCACGATACTTGCTTTTAACATTCATGGTTCAGGCTGTCCCGTTAGCCTCTTTTTCCACTGCGGGACGCCAGCTCGCCATGGAGGCGTCTACTCGTAGAAAAAAAGCAGGCCTTCAGATTGGGCCGCTGTTCAGTTGGGCTGAAGCCCTTGACGGCGAGGAGCAACCGCTTGGAGACAGCGTTGTCTGCTTAAACAATTTATGTTGTCGCTGATTAGCTGTGGCGAAAAATAGAAATCGGTAGCCCTTTATGGCCAGGTTAGCCGAAAACGCTGA